CACTCCATAGTTTGTGGGTTGGCAGGACTGTCCTGCGTTCGTACACTTTTTAAACCTAGGAGAAAAAGTTTTACATCGGGACATAGACGTTGGAAGTCTAGAAAGATGTTTTATCTTAGGTCATATCCTTGAAAGTTCATTTTAGTGAAAGAAGTTGGAACGCTATAGTGATGTATCATGATGCCATTCATATTCTGCAGTGAGTCGATATGACGTGGATAAAAGTGATTTCGTGCATTTTGTAAATTCTGTTCGATGGCACTGTACCATTTTGATGAAGACTGCGAGACTCAATGAGGACATTGACCAGGCTGTCTGGGGAGTATGTGACATACGACCAGAATAGACAAAAATGCAATTGTGAATTCATGGCCGCTGACCTGGAAAATTAACGGTTTTAGCAGTCTAGTGACGTTATTTAAATGATTAGACGAATCGTGAATGTCAGAAGATTCTGGAATTTTTAATTTTCAAAAATTCGAATGATGTCACACTTCTGAGAAACGTCGAAACGGCCATTTTTGGAAAAAAAGAAAGAAAAAAAACTAAACAACAATAGTTGCGATAGGATTAATGATGAGAAATAACGAGATACAACTGGGAATTATCAGAGACCGCTCCGAGTTCTAACGATTGTGTCGCTACAATCGTTACAGAGCAATTCACACAAACGGTGAAGGGTGTTGGGACAGTGTGAGTCCAGCCTTCTGGAAAGGAGATAGGAACGTTATTTCCCCGAAGTTAAATCAGTTAAAAATTGGCTAATATCAATGCTGAAATGCTCAATTTCTTGAAAATTCAAATTAATTACTGGGTGGGTCTTAGTTAATACAGGGTAGTTTCAGGGGGACTTGAAACTTTTTAAATAGTTTTTCGGCTTAACTGGTGTCTGCTCAAAGATTGTCGGGCTGGCTTGTTTCTGCTTCGTAAGTTTGTCCAGTTGCTTATTTAAATTTCTAACGCCTTGCTAGAATTCCTGTTTAATAAAAAAACAGGTTTTTTTTAAATGTATGGCATTCGTTTTCTTAAATATATATGTTTTACGCTTTGGAAAGTTATATCACTTTTCGCAAAAAGAACTCAAAAACCTCTTCTACCGATTTCTAAAGAAATGGTATTCATAGAAAGACCGCTTACACCCTTGTGTGCCTGCATAAGCCCCATGCAGGCACACAAGGGTGTAAGCGGTCCACCATCACAGAAGCTACAATTTCTGTGATGGTGAAACAAGTAGACATCATCCTTATATGTTTCGAAAGATCTACTATTTTCCGGTTTAGGGTTAGATCGACAGCGCAAACAGCTAAATTATTCAAATCCTTTGCCTTCAAAACGTGTTGGGCTATGAGTTGTCTGTTACTGAATCAGAATGTGAATCATTTTGTGGTATATCGTTCACAGTGCTGTGAACATTGATTCACGTAATATTAAAGCTGATGCAAGTACTTTGAAATGAAGCAATCTGAAGGCATCAAATTTTACGTAAGATGGTTTTTTACTTACCCGAACGTCATTCATAGTTTTACCCTGGAGCAATTTGAAAAATAAACTGTTCTGTTTCACCCCGAGAAAAATCTGCCCAGAGATGAGAACTCAGCCGTTAAATACACTCTTCTTGGGCTACTGGTTATTTTAATCTCTCTCGTTATTTCTAGTTAATCAAGGTATTTTCTTTTATCAAATTCCATAATTTTAGCAACTGTACTGCGATACTTGAAGTTTTTTTTAATTTGATATTTTAATCTCTCTCGTTGTTTCTACTTTATCAAGGTATTTTCTTTTAGCGGCTACTCACTAGTTTTTACACAAAAATTTATCTTCCTCGGAAAATTGATTTTTCGACCGTTTTTTGAAACTGGACTATTCGGGACCACTACCCTATGTTTTTGAATTCAATCGAAACAACAGGTTGGGCAAATCTCTTTTGCATAAACGGCTAACACGCAAATTTTTTGAAACAAAAAGCTATGTTGATCTTTTTTTCTGGAATTTTTTTGATAACTATGATGCCAAAACTGATATCATAAGTTTTATCGACGCAGCAGAACGTTGAAAGCTTATTGTATTTTGCTACAGAAACTTTTTGAATTTTCTTAAAAACACCACATCAAATCTGAGATGAAAAGTTCCATCGAACCAAGCGGTTGCACGAACTTTTACTGCAGAAGTGGCACTCCATAGTTTGTGGGTTGGCAGGACTGTCCTGCGTTCGTACACTTTTTAAACCTAGGAGAAAAAGTTTTACATCGGGACATAGACGTTGGAAGTCTAGAAAGATGTTTTATCTTAGGTCATATCCTTGAAAGTTCATTTTAGTGAAAGAAGTTGGAACGCTATAGTGATGTATCATGATGCCATTCATATTCTGCAGTGAGTCGATATGACGTGGATAAAAGTGATTTCGTGCATTTTGTAAATTCTGTTCGATGGCACTGTACCATTTTGATGAAGACTGCGAGACTCAATGAGGACATTGACCAGGCTGTCTGGGGAGTATGTGACATACGACCAGAATAGACAAAAATGCAATTGTGAATTCATGGCCGCTGACCTGGAAAATTAACGGTTTTAGCAGTCTAGTGACGTTATTTAAATGATTAGACGAATCGTGAATGTCAGAAGATTCTGGAATTTTTAATTTTCAAAAATTCGAATGATGTCACACTTCTGAGAAACGTCGAAACGGCCATTTTTGGAAAAAAAGAAAGAAAAAAAACTAAACAACAATAGTTGCGATAGGATTAATGATGAGAAATAACGAGATACAACTGGGAATTATCAGAGACCGCTCCGAGTTCTAACGATTGTGTCGCTACAATCGTTACAGAGCAATTCACACAAACGGTGAAGGGTGTTGGGACAGTGTGAGTCCAGCCTTCTGGAAAGGAGATAGGAACGTTATTTCCCCGAAGTTAAATCAGTTAAAAATTGGCTAATATCAATGCTGAAATGCTCAATTTCTTGAAAATTCAAATTAATTACTGGGTGGGTCTTAGTTAATACAGGGTAGTTTCAGGGGGACTTGAAACTTTTTAAATAGTTTTTCGGCTTAACTGGTGTCTGCTCAAAGATTGTCGGGCTGGCTTGTTTCTGCTTCGTAAGTTTGTCCAGTTGCTAATTTAAATTTCTAACGCCTTGCTAGAATTCCTGTTTAATAAAAAAACAGGTTTTTTTTAAATGTATGGCATTCGTTTTCTTAAATATATATGTTTTACGCTTTGGAAAGTTATATCACTTTTCGCAAAAAGAACTCAAAAACCTCTTCTACCGATTTCTAAAGAAATGGTATTCATAGAAAGACCGCTTACACCCTTGTGTGCCTGCATAAGCCCCTGGTCTCTTGTCGCTTCACCATTTTGTCTAAGTCTTCGAAAAATCTGTAAGGGAAATATTTTATTACCTACCAAATCGGAGATTTTTTGTTTTAATGAATAGCGAATTTGGAAAGCTCTCCTCCATAAGCTTCTACGCCCAAACGTTTTAAAACATAAAATATGCCCCTTGGAATAGTGAAATTTTTGATATTCTCTCCGTTTTTTTAGTCTTTTTGACTTATCTGGAAAACTAACGTCCCAAACCAGAGGTTGTGGGTTCAATGGATATGAAGGGTGAGAAGTTCCCATGCGTTAGCGGCTACTCACTAGTTTTTACACAAAGATTTAACTTCCTCGGAAAATCAATTTTTTGACCGTTTTTTGAAACTGGACTATTCGGGACCACTACCCTATGTTTTTGAGTTCAATCGAAAAAACAGGTTGGGCAAATCTCTTTTTGCATAAATGGCTACACGCAAATTTTTTTAAACAAAAAGCTATGTTGACCTTTTTGTTCTGGAATTTTCTCGATAACTATGTTGCCAAATCTGATATCATACGTTTTATCGACGCAGCAGGTCGTTGGAAGCTTATTGTATATTGCTACAGAAACTTTTTGAGTTTTCTTAAAAACACCACATCAGATCTGAGATGAAAAGTTCCATCGAACCAAGCGGTTGCACGAATTTTTACTGCAGAAGTGGCTACTCCATAATTTTTGGTTAAAAATATTATGTCTTTGAAAAAATTCTAAGATCTCGAAAAGGACAAGTTTCTCAAAAGAGCTGGGCTCTAGGTGTCCTTCATTAATCGAAAAACGAAAATTTTGTTTCACCAATTTTTTTTCAGCGTTTTAATTTTTTTCTACTTTTATTTTTGATTGTGTTGCATTGCAAATGGTGCGAAGCTTCGCTTCGCCTCTGTGTTGATTTTATAAATCTTGAGGGTTGACTTGACTGTAGTTAATCGAAGTACGAACATCTTGAATTTATCAAAAGTGCACAATGAGAAGTCAAAACGTTGATAAGCTTCAAAACAGCTCCTATTCCTAATCTATTCAATTTAAATTGATTTTTCAAGGTTGTATTTCTGGTTCCGAGCTTTTTTGCAACTCACTCGTCTCACTTTGCCCATCCGATTGAACTATTTACTGGATTTGGTGTCATTCCTTTGCTTATATTTTTTGATAACCAGTTGTCTATTAATTTTTTTGGCTGGCTACATAACGGAGTTAGCTCGTGTAAATTCGCTGCTTAGAATAATTGCGTAAATTTTTTTGTTGTTGAAAATTATGTTTTTATTTGTAGGTTTTTGGCCATGGAACTTATTTAGCAGTTTTATTTTTTACCTCAATTTGTACAGCAAAGATAAAAAACGGTTTTGGTGTAGCAAGTAAATGATTTGATTTCCGACTTCCAAAATGCAGTTTCAGCTTGAATCTGTTCTGTCTTGTTCGAAAAGAGTATTACCCAATTTCTTGACTTTTTTGTCTAAATATGTAGTCAGAAAAAGAGACGTGTTTGATCCTTACAATTTCTGTGATGGTGAAACAAGTAGACATCATCCTTATATGTTTCGACAGATCTCCTATTTACCGGTTTAGGGTTAGATCGACAGCGCAAACAGCTATGTTATTCAAATCACTTGCCTTGAAAACGGGTTAGGCTTTGATTTATCTGTTACAGAATCAGAATGTGAATCATTTTGTGGTTTATGGTTCACAGTGGTGTGAACATTGATTCACGTAATATTGAAGCTGATGCAAGTACTTTGAAATGAAGCAATCTGAAGGCATCAGATTTTACGTAAGATGGTTTTATACTTACTCGAACGTCATTCATAGTTTTACCCTGGAGCAATTTGAAAAATAAACTGTTCTGTTTCAGCCCGAGAAAAATCTGCCCAGAGATGAGAACTCAGCCGTCAAATACACTCTTCTTGGGCTACTTGTTATTTTAATCTCTCTCGTTGTTTCTACTTTATCAAGGTATTTTCTTTTATCAAATTCCATAATTTTAGCAACTGTACTGCGATACTTGAAGTTTTTTCTGTTTATAAAAATATTTATAGCTTTTTTGTAAGATTTTAAGCTAGTAAATTTTTTCGGTTCGATCAAGATATTTTGTGTATCTCTTAGTTTCAAAAAATATTATTGACGGTTCAAAATATGGAATTCATTTTTAGCCTAATTACTTATCAACTTGCTCTCAGAGAGTTCACTGCCCAGCAAACACTACAAAACAGTACCAGGAGAGAGGAAAACACAAAAACTGGAACAGATTCGGGACCTATTTTTATCGCGGGAAGCGACGACTTAGCAGTTCGCAATCTAAAAGAAGTTCAGAATATTACTGGTAACTATTTCAGGTTTTGCATAGAAGGAAAAATAGTTTTAACCAGGGGTCGATGTCACAAAGTGAGAAAACGGCAAAAAAAAGTAAAATTTCAACTTTCAGAGCTACGGCTGCGTAAATTTCATCTCCGAGTTAACATTGAAAACGAAAAAAAAAACAGATCGGTAACAAAGCCGATAAAAACTGCTGAGAAAACAAATAAGCCGAGGAATTGTGAAGTAGGATCTATTGCTTCGCTTACATCAGTTGTAATCACGCTTCAATCTATCGTACAGGTAAATCTTGCTCTGCATTTCTCCGTTTATTTAGAGTTCGTTCACACATTAGAGCACGAATTGGAAGCCCGAGTTAATGCCTCTCTGCTGGGAAATGAGATGAAAATTGAACGATACGTGGAGAGTAAAATTAAGGACCGGGTTGAGCAGATCGGAAGTAATACTGCGTCTTCACAGTGCAACCTGTGAGTTTATTTCTCTTTCAAATGACAACTTCTTGCAAAGTGTTTGTTAAATATATACCAAAGGAGTAATTTCATGTTGATTCATGTTAAAAGAAGTGGTTTTTTGAATAGACGATAAAAAACTTTGAAGGATAACTTACTGAATCTGAATGTATCTCTACCTTTTGCTTTGTGCTGTTCACCGACATGATTAAAAGTCAATGAACGAAGTGAAGATTTTCATTTAGGCCTTTATTGTTTTTCAAAAAAAATCATCAAATTGATTGCGCTCGATTTTGAATTTTCGCGATTTGATTTTGGCTTTGAAGTTGGATTTCGTTTGCTATTTCCGAAAATGGAAAAGTGGATAAGAAGTGAATGAATTGCATATTCAAAAACTGATTTCAATATTTTTGTTTCCAAATGGAATAAAAAAAATCCAGCTTATTTCAGAATTGGATTAGTTGAATTAAAAAGCATCTCTCACGAAAAATTCTTGAATTCGCTCTTGTGCTGCGTCGCTTTTTATGGCCATTTATTCGCATGGCTTTTATAGTATCGTGTTTTCTGATAGCTAGTTATTGAAGAAGGTATAGCCAGATGGTGAGACAACTTCACTCAAATTCGAGTTTCAAATGCGTAGGTTGGAATCCCGTAAAATTAAGTTTTTGTTTTCGACGTTTTTTTTTGTGCCTACGGCAAGCAGACAACTTCGATTTCTTAGAATCCAACAGGCATACAAATTTTTGATTGCATGAACAAGAAGTCTGATTCTGAATAGTTCATTCAGATTGGTCTTAAAAATCACTTTCTCAAACTGAAATTAATTTAATTGATTACGCATGATTACGAACAGCAAAATCAGCTTAGTGTTATATTACAAATCAATTACTTTTTTCAATTCAGCTCGGAACTTTCGTTGCTTCGTATAGCAATTTAATAGCATCTGTTCTGTTTGCTTTATTTAGTGGCTTGTGATAGCTTCTAAGGAAACAACCATGGCGCTGATGGGAGGAGGTTAGACTCTTAATCTCGAGCTCTAGGGTTCAATTTCGGCATTGTTTTTTATGGCTTGTTTTTCCCCTTATTTCACATTCTATCTTTTTAGAGCTTGTTTGCCAATTGCTGCATCGCCTCGGTGTTTGATATTATGCATAACTTGAGCATTAACAAAGCTGCTGAGCAGAATGGTCTAAGAGCAGAAAAGGCCTAAGAAAAATCGGAAAATTTTGAATTATACGGGCTACTCAATAAAAACATTTATGATAATTGACATTGCTACCAAGGCAATGAATACATTATCTACAAATTGAGTAATTTCATCTAGTTTTTTTTTTACTGTTTTGAAAAAAAATCCTGTTTGATATAAGCAGGTATTATTAAACAATTATTGGGATCGGGTTTTTTTATTTATTTATTTTTTTAGACGCTTTGCAAATTTTTTTATACTTTTTTCAAAAAATTAGTTCTCAAATTCTACTCTACCGATTTTCAAGAAAGTGGTACCAATGTGAAGTCCGACCACTATCCTGTGTGCCTGCGTATTTCTGTAGGCTCTCTTTACCTTAACCCACTTTTAACAGGCTTCGAAAAGGTGTGGGGCAATATTGGGATCGGGAATTTTTGACTCATACTTTTGGTTTTGTTACATTTTCTCGAAAACTACCCTCCCAAATCCGAGATTTTGGGTTCAATGGATAGAACACGTTACGGAAGCTCCCGTTACGGAAGCTCCCAGTTATGACCCTCGGAAAAGTCAAATTTTCCAGTTTTTGACTGTTTTTTGAAGTTTTTTCACTTTTCTCGGAAACTACCCTCCTAAATCTGATTTTAGTTTCAATCGAAAGGGCGGGTTATGAGAAGCTACCACGAGGAAGCAGTTACGACCAAATTTTTTTACCCAAAAAATAATGACACTCGGAAAAGTCGAATTTTCAAAAATTAACCTCCCAAATCTGGGATTTTGGTTTCAACGGATATAAAAATATGTCTGAAGCTCCCCTGCTTAATCGGTGACGCCCAAATTTTTTGCACAAAAAGTTATGGCCCTCGGAAAAGTTGAATTTCGATTTTTGACCTTGTTTTGAAACTGTTGACCTTCTGTGTAACTTGTAAATGTGTTGTTTGTTTTGCAGAACAAGTGAAAAAGTGAAGGCACTGTTGGATCTTCAGGGTCTGCTTGAGAGCAAAGTGCAACTGCTTCGGGAGCTGAACAGGACGAGAGTGGACTCTCTGTTCGCTTCCAAAGTGCTCTCATCAGTTGCGGTGAACAGAATTAACTCCTACTTTGAAGACAGAAATATTGTGCCCAAACAGATCACACTGTTGTACAGAGGAAGCCAGCAAGGATTCTCTGGTTAGTTCAATTGACTGCGTGTAGAGTTTAATTTATGTACATTGTGTGATTTTTCAGGAAAAAGTCCGGCGCTCAATTTTTTTGCGGTTCTTGATTTGATTCATTTTCAAGTTCACTTGAAATTGATTCTGAAATTACTCTCTTCAATAACTAAAGCGCAAATGGAGAGAAATAACATAATTGATTTTCAGTTTCAATGGTTTCTTGACATAACTTAAGCCTCAACCAAGCTGATTAAAATTGTCCTGGGATTCTTATCTTATATTATCTTGTGTTGAGCATGAATTTTGTTTAGTTGATTGTCTACTCTCTGCTATAACCGTTCGAAGTATATAGTGTTTGTTTGTTGTAGCGAAGTCGTTCCACGCAAAGTGTGACAACAGAGGTCCCACCCTTGTGGTGGTGAGGAGTAAGGCGGACAATGACAACCCAAGAGGTCAAGTGTTTGGAGGGTACACCACAGCCGAGTGGCAGATGCAACATGCCAACAAGATCGGCTCAAAAGATGACTTCCTTTTCAGCTGTGAGTTACATGGTCGAAAGCTAACTTAAATTTTTGTCAGGTGGGCTGATATTGAAGACGTGTTTACACAAGCAAAAGTTTTTGTTGTAATACGAGTTCAATGATTGATAATCAAACAAGTGCCAATTATAAATTGTACTTGAAATTCCAAAAAAAAACAAGTCAGAATTTGCGTGCGTGTGAAGTTTTCTGTCGAGTTTTTTTGCTGTTTATGTCACGAAAAGATTTTGCTATCTCGTGAAACAGTGCGACCTTAGCTGCGAAAGAAAATGTTGCTGCAGGCTAAATCTAAAGTTTTTCGAAGGTTTTATTTAACGGTTTTAGATTCTTTTTTGTAGTTTTGTCTAGAATTCCTTTTAGCGACGAAGATGTCTGAAATTAATTTTCATGGTTGGTCAGTCGCAAATGGAGTCTATGTAGCAAATGTTATGATTTTATAAGAAGCGGCATCTGTCCTTGGTTCAATAAGATTTTCTTTCCGACCATTGAAAATGGGGAGGAACTTTGTGTTCGGGTGTGTTTTAGTTTTTTGTTTTCCCCGCAAAATCAGGTGCCACAAATAATCATCAGAACGGGTCGAGTGATATATAATATAAAGAAGCCCTTTTAGTCGTGATTCGAACGACATTTAAAAAATTTCACAAAAGTTTTCTCTGTATCGAGAAAAACAGTTTTTTTTTTAAATTTCATTTAAGTTCAAGCGAGTAAAGCGAGCGAGCAGGTGTGTAATAGGCTTATTACACAAGCAATGCTTGTGTTGAAGTATGAACTATCTTTGTTTTTTCAACCTAAGTCGCAAATATTGTTGCGACAAAATGTGTTCATTTTGAAAGTGTTCATTATGATCAATATTCAGCTATTAAGTACAGCCATTGCTAAGGATTTTAACACAGACTATTATTGTTCCGACTTTCGTAACGAAAGTAACGGAATTTTTGTGCTCGGGGTGTTTTTTTTTCACGCAAATTTCCACTTTTTAACTAGCCATTTTTGATGTTTTTTTTTTTTCATTTCAAAAAGTATTGTTGTCCTAAATTTGAGCTTAAATTTGGAAAGATATTTTACTTGTGATCATTTTTCGTAAAGTTATGTGGGTTTAAAAATTGCCATTTTGGCCAATTTAGGACAATTAGCGCGGGATATATTTTGCGCTATTAACGCGTAAGCGGACATTGAATCCGTCTTAGAAATCGTTCCAAATTGGTTGCAGGAAGCTTATTTGCCATAATTGATATATTACTAGGAGCAAAATTTATCACTTGGTACTTATTATGGCGTGTGGGGGGATGATTTTCACAAAAAATCTCAGATTAAAAAAATTTCATTATATTTTTATTACATTTAATTTTTTCATGTTATTACTGCTCCATAGACTGCTCTTTAAATTGAGGCATGTTAGTTGGTAAATCTCTTTTTTTTCAAATTGAGTGGTACTGCTAATGTGTCATAGATGGCGTGCGTCTTGTAAAAAATTTTGTAGAATCAAAATTTTACTCATTCAGTTTTTCACAGTAGCGTTATCGGTCATATTTTTGTCTGTGTATGCGAAGTGCAACTTCGCCTCTGTGTAATAGATTCTTTTAAAAGTAACTAGTACTTAATTTTACTCAAGCGAAATTAGTTAACGAGAATTTATTAGCGCTTTCTTGGGATTAAAATTTAAGAACAAATAAAAAATTTGATATTTTTTCAAATATTTTCGAAGTATTTAAAATTCCATGTGAAAAATTGTTGTCAAATGTCCCTAATTTTTTTTGCTTACAAACTTTTAGTATTTTTTTTGAAAATAATGTCGGAATATTCTGTGCAACCTGTGCAGCAACTGGTTGTCCTTTTTCAAATATGAAATTGTTATATATTTAAAAATCTTAAGGATTCTCTCATGTTTGAGGGGGAAAATAAGCGTGTCAAATGAGGTCAATGGAACCTAGTGTTATCGATGTGATCACTTATGTTTCAGTAGAATGGAAGGAGGCGTTGTCTATACAACAAGTGAGTAAAAATATTACAAAAAATTTTTATTTTAAAACGCGCCCTTTTCATTGAAAGGGAAAAGACAATAGTAAAATTTGCAAAGCTTGACGTTTCAAAAAACGACAGGTAAATTTTTCTCAAATACGGTATGCTATGATAATTGAAGCCATAACTTATCTATTATGGATTGTCTTCCATGATAAGATTGTACCGGATTGGTGAGTTCTAGACTGGCAATGCAATCAAGACAGCAGAGCACATGGGTCCTCAGTTCGGAGTGAACCCGGAGTTGAAATTGGGCCACGAGTGTCACAAGGAGACCTCAGAGAACTCGCTCTCCAAACTGGGATCAAAATCTGCCACCTTCCAGACCCCATCAAGTGGGGAGACATCCTTCGTCAGAGGACCAACAGGATACTTCGTATGTGACGAATACGAAGTATACAGTGTTCGGTTATAAACTACTTTTTTTAAATTTAGGATAGCAATTTCTTCCTGAAATATGAAAAAGCGATCACCTAAAAAGTTTCTTGTGTGCTGTGATTTGATTGTATTATTGATGTTGTGCTATTAAAGATGCATCTCGATTGGATTAAAAAGACCCTCCGGCTAAAACAATTGTTAAAGTCGCTTTTGACGATATTCGTTTTTTTTTGGTGCAGCGTCATGCAGTGAAATTAATTGATTGGTGCTTAAAGTTTCAACATATGCTGAAATTCATCTTTTTATCTTGTGCTTTATTATTTTGGGTGCTTCTTTGATGGTTTCTCCGTCAATTCTTTCTCCACGAAGCTGTTGTAGCCGGTTAGCTGATAACCAATGGCGCTAGTGTACAAGGAGGCTGTTAACTATTCCAAGCACCCCCATTTTGCAAAGAGGGAATTCTTCGTATATGTTCACTCGTTGACCCAACAAAGAAGGGGGTATGGTTAGTTGTCAAGATCCGTGTGTACAATTAGGAAGATCTTATCTATCATTTACAGTGCTCCTTCATCTGTCTTTTTCATCTTTCAAAAATGTTTTCTCTACCTGCGGGTTTCCAGGTTGAGTAAAAAATTTTTTTTAAATGTTGCTGTTTTTTGAACACTTACAGCTTATATCATGTGCGTCTAATTATAATTGTGCTTCTTTCTTTTGCACGTATTCTTATCTATTGTCTTAGAAAGCTTAGTCTTCCATTTACCAAAACAAATCAATATTTATTTTGATTAATAAATGCAGATTTGAAACATGTGTAATGTTCTTATCCAAATTACAATAAAAATTTAGAAGGAAAATACTGCTTTTATTATCAATTTTTGTAAAGGAAAAGGGCTAATGCGCAAGCTTCCAAATTCTTTTCAAGATTGTGCTGCAAATTTTCTGGCTATAATAGGGGTGAAAAGGTTTTTTTTCCCTTACAAGCAAAAATTCAAGGTTGGACTTGAACCAGAAATCTTTGGTTGAGAGGTAAAGGCAGGGTTGGATCGGGGTGCAGATGAAAAGCTTAACCAGCAAAGTTTTAGCAATAACCAACGCGAACATTTTTGTCAATCTACAGTCATAGAAGCAATTTATGAACTCTCCTAGATAATGTGCGAGAAGTTATTTTTGGCACTAGTCAGTCAAAACATCCTAACGGTAATGAGTCCAAACTTGAAAAAATATTTAAAACCCTCAGAATCTTATTCGAGAAACTTAATGGCAACCACCTGCGGATTTAGGGAGGGGGTGGGGCGTGGGCTTTTGGGCGCCTTCCCCCTACCTCAGGGATTAGAACCCTGTCGACCCAAAGCCCCCCCCCCCATTGTACTGTTTAGAGAATTCTATTTTTGACGGACTGACCCTAAATTTTTTTCTTAAAGCGCCTTTGGTGCCAAAATCAAGGTTCAGCGAAATAAAATAGCAAAAAAGTTGTTACAAATGTCTTGAAAACGACGACATCACATGAAAGATGAATCCACTATCGCCTTATAATTTAAGTGGTGGATTTGAAGAGCTTGTTTTGGTAGTTAACAGAGCTTTTTGACTCTCCGCGACTTAAAAATGACTTCACCATCATCATCATCATGCTTTCTTTATTAGACACCCTTTCTTGCGCTCAGAGTTTTTTTGTTGATTTATCTTCAAGTTTTTTTTGGGGGGTAGTTTCGTAGTCTTTTTCTCTCGTATTTTGCAAGGATGCGTTGTTTCCGATTCTTTTCCATGTTTTCTTACATTGCACTTCGTCTATTCATCACCATAAAATGAGCAGTAGAAATTGACCCTCGAATGGGTACGTTATTACAACTTAGTGCGGAAACACATAAAAAAGACGTTCAATTTGATCCTCAATTTGAATCCCAACAGACTAGATAGCCACTGTTATTTTATTTGAAATTTTCCTGAACTGATGAATTTTCAATTTTTTTTTCAAAACTTTTGGTTAATAAGTTTTGGTTCGTAATTCAAGCGGTAAACGATTCCAATGGCTTGGTCCGTAGAATTCAAAATGTCGACGCCCAGTTTTTGGTATCATGAACGGTGTTTCTAAGGGCATTTTAAGCTGTCTTCGAGCCGTAGGGACACGTTGTTTTATAAAGGTTCGCATGAAATTCTGCAGCAGATGTGGATTGAATGTTAATTTATGAACGAATTTTAAGATTCTGTAATCTATTCTAGACATGACTGGTAGCCAGTGAAGATCGTCTATAAATAGTCCGATTGAACATAATTATTCCAATGTACATTAAAATTACCTACAAGTGAGAATAAGAACACGGTTGCGATAAATGTGTTCCAAGAAATTTTTCTGCAAAGCTTCTGAAGACATCGTGAGGTGGTCTGTAGCTTGATTATTTAACATCATTATGTATTATCGTCTTTTTCTTACTTCAGAATCAATCGCAAAGGGCCGTAAGACTTTTTTTGTAATCAAAGCAGTTCACTTCCATATCTTTAGCTAATTGATTCATATACATGAAACATTACAACGGCGTTGTTTATGCAGCGTTTCAGAAAAAAATTTGCTTTATCATCTGAGCTGAGCCAAATTTTTATTAGAAAAATTGTTTAAACATCAATTTCATTTCAGTTAGCTATACATTCACATTTTTTCCATGTTGGTCCAAAGTTGTTGTCCGATTTTTATTGTTTTAAGTCAATATTTTCCTTGCTACCATTTTCAGAGTGTACATTCGTTGGTAGTTTCTGATGGAGCTTCAGCCAGTCTTTCGTTTATTGATTTGGGAAATACTACAAAATTATAAGAAAATGCATCTGAGTTGTCTTGAAAGTTTTCAGTGCTTTTTTCGACTTGCAAAGCGTCCTCTTACAGCATCAATTATGCGGATTTTCACGTTTGTTTGGCGGTTGAAACTTTTTTTAGCTTTCAGATGCATCACTTGTTCAAGTTTTTTCAGCTTCTCCGGTAGATTTGCAAGTGTAATCATTTTTGCATTGAGACTTTCGAAAAGAGCAACAACCGACGTAATCGTTTTTATCTTGGCAATCCTTTCAGTTCCAGCTCAGTTTGCCAGCTCTCAGAGTTCCAGTTTTTCTAGTGCAAGATTTATGCACTTGCTTGCTGTACCATTGACTTTCAAGATAATCAGAGTCTGCCCACCTTGGTTGCTTCATCACATTCTTGACATACGTTTTGCGACATATCGTCTTCCCCAGGTCTTTGGTGGAAATTTTGTGATAGGTATCAAAATCTATTCATTGAAGTTTTGAGGAAAAATTTCAACCAATCACATAAACCAGATCACTAAAATCCCCTAAGGGCTACTAAAGATAACTATTGCTGTAATAGATTTTTTTTCTTCTGTCATATTCAGAAACAACCCTGAGAAGCTTACTTCCAGATCTTGGAAGGTTTTACAAGATGAATAGCTGTTAATCTCATGCGTTGCACAAAATGGAGCTATCTGGCAGACGAAAATCAACGGCAAAAACTGGTGTTTCACTAACGTTGTCAAGTTTTTGGTATCTGAAGGCGTACACTAAAATATTACAAATTGTTAAATGTTTTTTCTTATTTTCAGGTTTGGCAATGCGTATAATGTTTCTTTAACATTACCTGTGTTGTGTTGTTTTATGTTATTCTGACCAAATCTCAATTCAAATTCTACGAATTCAATTCGAATAAATTTACAGATCTCTTTAATCCGATAGGTGCTTGTTTTTCATCACGACACAAAAACCTACCGCGGAGAGGAAGATATTTGAGGTGTTTCTGCATAAGCGGTGGGTAAGATCAAAGAGACGACAGGATATAAGATTCTGGCAGCAATGTCTGGATCTACCGGTGATAGTGGCAAGTTTGGGGACAAGTTGGAGGAACTGGACTTGACTGCCGATGAGATCCACAGACTGACGGAGGCGATGAAGAAGAAGGAATTCAGAGATCTGTTGGCAGAGTACGCCAAGGAGATACAGGATCCAGAGAACAAGGTGAGCTGAAGCTTTAATGTGTCATTTTAACACAAAATTTATATAACGTCGAGAGCCGAATTTCTCAATTGCATTTTTTATCGAGAGGAAATTCGTACCTGCTCTAAAGTGAGATATGACTTTCTAAAGTCAGCAAAAATGTGTCTGAAGAGTATTTCGAATTCGTCTTCTATGTAACTTCAACTCGGATCTCTGAAATCTGCTTTGAATTTGTGGTACGATGAATTAGTTCCCACTCTTAGGTGTGCTGGAACTAACTTCTTTTGAAATTCTGGGGCCAACTCCAAGAAATTGTTAACTAATGGTCTCACTCGTATTCAAGTGGAGTGTAGGACATCTGCACATTTGCAATTTTTGTAGCCAGTTTTATGCTTCGAAAATGATATCACAGGACTGGCCATTTTGTTGAGTAATTTTAAAACAGCAGGGTGGTAAAATTATCAGTGAGCCGCGATACAATTGTTTATTTTGGCCACCCTTGAAAAATGTGGACTAGAATTTATTGTTTTGATTGTTGTTGCATGCCGGGGTCGGGTTTTGCTGTTTTGATAGAAACCTTGAAAAATAATTTCACAAACTATCAATTTCACAACCCTGGAATATTATAACCCCTTTATTTTCTAACATTTGTTCGCTCGACATATTAATGAGTTTCCTTAAATCTCTGTTTTTGAGAGACATAACTGCAGCTTCGAAACAAGTTCAAACTTGGGGCTTCAATTCCATAGGAACGTAATTTTCCCCCTAATTTGTGTGGCATCACTGTCAAATAGATTGCTCCTTCCGTCTATGATTACAGTCTTTTTTAACTTTTTAAACCGAAAATCTTTCCTCATTTCACTGCTACCCGTAATACAACACAAAAAATACGATGATATTGTTTAATATGAAGATGTCGAGTGCAACGCTTAGTGGAATGCTTCCGGAGGAGATTGTGCTAGAATGGATATATTCTACCTATTCTGCTAACTTTTTCCCAGTCGGACTTTTTAAAATTGTTTAATTATTTATTAATTATTAGTATAATAATAATTATTTTGATTATCATTAATAACTACTTTCAAAACCAATATTGTTTGAATTTTCTGTTGCGCAGGGTAGACTTAGAGCAGATCAGCTGATCTTGTTATTTACTCTTTTCAAGTCGCTATCTATTGCTCTAATTTGTTTATTTAGTTATATCAATTTATTTTGACTTGAATGCATTTATTCGTCTTCTAATTAAAAAGCATGAAGTTGTTGAGGTTGATTAAAATCCTTAATTTAGATTTCTACGATAAGTTGTGGTATTTATGTGTTTAGAAGCGTTACGAGGAGGAGATCAAACTGATGGAGGGTGAAAGGGGAGTGGACGTGAAGTTCATCAGTCCCACCCCGGGTCACGTGATCAAGACTGTGCAAAATGGGGACACCAAGTGCTTCGTCAACATATGCTACTCAAACACAATAGACACCGCCACATGTACTAAGTCACCACAGAACAAAGGTCAGCTGTTACAGAAGTATGCAACATTCATTACATGTTTGCTACGACTGATCTATGTTACAGTCAGGCTGATAGTAGTACATTTGCTTTGTAAACCTTAAAATGCCTCGATGTCGATTTGACTTATTGACTTAATAAATATTCTAAATGGAGTTTTGGTCGTATTTTTGTACATAACCCTGAAACGAGGTATCCCTTGATATTGTAATCGAAGTTTATCAGAATTATAAGGAAAATGGCGAATTTTTGTGTTTCTAGAAATAGCGAAGTGCAACTTGAGTGCTTTTTATATAGTGCTTCTAGATTTTTAATTGTTGTTTTAGGCGAGCACTGGTCCATTCCATACAGCACAGCTGCAGGCCGGGAAGACGTGGACAAAGCAGGCAGCAAGTGCGTAGTGTACGATTGTGTATTTCACGAGGATACTTACAAGAGGGGTCTGAGAGACAGCAGATTCAAGAAACTCATCCACGACACAGCCTTGCAGGGGATAGAGAGTCAATTGAATGTGCAGTTGGACAAAGTCAACCTCAAGTTCCCCAAGCTCAAGTTCAAAGGTACTTTTTATCATTGACCAGATAATGCACGTTCTTACCTCTAGTTGGCAATTTCTAGAGTTTTTTTATAGAAATTTTTTTTTCCAATTTAAAGGGCCCTTCTTTTAGAAAGATATTTTAAACAGGAGATAATTAAGCAATCTCTAATCAAGCGCTCCTTACCTCAACTTATGATCCCTTTTAATACTTGTTATTTTTTTCTTGCTTGATGTTTGCGGCTCAATTTGTTTGTAGCTTCCAACAGGAGTAGTGTAACTCGAATTCTCCGTTTCTTTTCAGCTCGGAAATTTTTTTTCCAGATTGATAAAAGATTTGGTCTTAGCCGTAAAAAGTAACTGTGGCTGTCGCGAGCTCGATAAGAGCACGAGTTCGAGAAGAGCCCCCTTCTTACAGCACTGAATATAACCTATTCTAGTGGGAAGTTTTTGGTACGGAGGAACCGAGCTAAATTCCCGTGCCCGTTTCGACGGACAGTTTTCACCCAATTTGAGCGTAGTGCCATAGTACAGTGCAGCTTTTTTCCAAAGTCGCAAATAAAAGTGCTACTTTTGGTGGCTTAAAAGTGCTACTTTTGGTTGCCCAAAGTTGACTCTTGGTGGCTAATAAGCAGGGTTGCATAAAAATCTGATGTATATTCTCGATTGATTTAAACCCGATTTTTATTATTTTACCTTGATTTTTTCGATTTTTATTTGAAACGTTTTTGTTTCAAGAATCAATTAATTTACGCAAAATTATTGATTCAGCATCCGAAAGAAGAACACAGGTTAACCATATTTTTCTTTTCCCAGTCAATTTCTGAGACTGGAATGGATAAATCCGAAAGTGCCGAAAAACTTTTCCAGTTAAAAGTATGCTTTGAAGAGCGAATTACGTAAACCAATGTAAATACTGCAAGCTGGGTTGTATGTTTACCGCGGCACCCGGCAGGATAACACAAGGGTTCAATTTTTGATTTCTATTCTACGATTAAATTCCGATTTATATCATTGATTTAAATCAAGTTGACTTCAATCATGCAACCCTGGTAATAAGTGCTACTTTATGCGGCTTTTTTGAATTAGGAGGCTGCATTGGAACACTAATACAATGTGTTTTGACATTTGATTTGTAATGCGCTTAAACAGTTGATGCTTTTGTATTTCATCAATTGAAGCGAAAAAAGTTTATTTGTTTCATACAAGAGTGCAATAATAAAAACTACTGTTCCGAAATTTTCAAACTCAAAATGGTTCGCGAATTGTATAATTTATACAACATTTGGCTTTAAATTTTTCAATATATTGCATGCAAAGTTTGTGTGGTTGTGTTTAGTTTATTACATTCTTATTTCGTACATGCAAAATTTGTGTTTTCTGTGCCTTATAAAGCTTCTAAATCTTTTTCCGCTTTCTCGCATGTGTTCGAGAAGCTGCATCTTTGCCTCAATTGATTATTTCGTGGAGCTGGAAAAATCTCTTGGAGCTGGTAAGTTAAGCCGTTTTGCGACTAATTTTTAATATTTCAATCCTTTCAGTGGCGGCTCTAAGTTTTATTACACTTGCGATAATTAAGGTATTGCAATTGGGTACTAGACTTTTTCCGTCAACAACTTTATCCACACGACTCATGGGACTCATTGAACTGGAGGTACCTTGGTTCATAATGAATTCAAAATTTGTAGTATCTCTTGCCCGGTTAGCCTGGTGGTAACGAATACGCCAGTGACGGCAAAATTCTTAGGTCCGAATCTGACCAGGACTCGTTTTTCAAGCAATTGTTGCGGTTCAAAAAAACTTCGGCCTATTATTTGTCTGCTTATCTTTTGTCGGCTTTGTTCCCACATCAGAATTGTTTAGTTTAACTGTAAACATTTTTAACTGCAGTTTTTTTAGCATTTTAAAAATCCGGCCGAAATGAAGTTTGCTTTCACGGTGGTTGTAATTTAACCAGCTCGGTTTAATAAAGTTTCTTTTTTTAAAGTTTTTTCGAGCTAATAAATTTTGGCCTAATTAATATCGACTTAGTGGCCTCTTATTGCGTCGTTACATCCGAAAAAAGTTTTTGTGCGCGTGTGTGTGCTCTGACGGGAAAAACTACTTGACATTTTTAAAAGTTTTTCTGAATTTCTTTTCGGCATGAAGGATTTCTGCTCATGTTTCTTCGGCTTTGTTACCGCTTAGTAAATAAAATTTCAATCATTGTTACCTCTTAGGTAATAAAACCGCTTAGTATAAATTCAAATCCAATCAACCATGCGGTAAATCTGGCGCAGAGATAAAACATTGAGATGGTAAATATTTGCGGTTCGAATCTCGCCGGGCCCTTTTTTGCAAAGTAAAAGTCGTTTATTTCTGTCGGCTTAGTTCCCGTAGCTCGGTGTTTTAGCTTTAATCCAAGTTGCTGTAACCCCCATGCTTGAGACGACAAAGCCCGGGAGTTCGATTCTAGTTGAGACTTGTTTTTCTTGCAAATAGAAAGTTTTGGCTGATTTAGATTGTTGTCTGTCTGCTTATTTGTTTCTGCCTAGTTCCCCAGAAAAGACGCAGGGCGTTGGCATTAAGCTGTAGAATTTTAAAGTCGTGGCTATTGTCCTCTTCATAGACTTTTGGAGTGTTGCTTTTGTTGGTTTGCTCGATTTTAATTAGTATAAAAGCAGTTTTGACAAGAAAAGTCGCGCGATGATGTTGTGTTATTATTGAAGTGCAAGAAAAATGCGCCCATTCGCCATAGTGAAACCAAACGCTTTCTTGAGCTCTCGGTACATCAGGCGGATGTGAGGCATGGAGTGGATACTGCCTCGTAGAAGCACTCGTACTTCGGCTCACAGTTTGTCGAGCTAGTTGCCACATTCTGCTCTGCAAGGCGTGGCGAGGTATTTGGGTGAATGAATCTTAAACTGAACTTTTTACTGAGCTTTTTGGCTCCATGTGTTTTGTCTGTTTGTGTATTGGTTTTAATGCCAGGTTGTTTTTCTTCAAGTGCTCCATTTAAACCAAATGATAAGTATTCCTAATTCTGGCTTTGCTGTATTGTAGTTGGCAATTCCCAGTTTTTTTTTTCAGTCTGATAGAAGTAGTAGCAAGTCGTAATTTTTTAAAGATTCGGACACAATTTTTGTTAACAAGTGTTTTTTTCTGTAACATTTTGTAAATGTTTTCTGTAAATATTCCTGATGATTTTTTTTTCAACTTCTTATTGATGTCATAAGTAACTATATCGCTGGTTGTGCCGACGTCTGCAGCTCAGTTTTTAATGGATGTCGAATTCTTAACTCCAATTTATTTTTGAAGATATGATTTTACTGTTCATAAAAAGTACATGTTCATTCTGATTTTTTTTCGAAAATTTGTGTATTAGTTTTATAACTTGTTGGTTTAAATTTTGACCTCTATATTTGGCATTATAACTACGTTAAAAATGGAAGTCAAATAAGGCTCTTCAATAACAAAAGTACAAATTGCTGTGCTGCAAAAATTGGAACAAAGTTTTGGTTGCAAAGTCTGATTGGGTTAGTCAATCGTGAAAGTTTCAAAGAGCTCCAACATGGTATACTGCTTTCGTTGGCTCTTTTCACCCAAGTCAGCAGTCCTCGCTAAGATGAATTTTGCTGGCATTTTCAACAGGAAAATATACTGTCTTCAGTTATCATTTCTGCTAAAAAAACGCCCGCATATTGTTAAATTATATTGGAAATCTGTTGAAGTTAAAAAAAAAACTGTGGAGTTGACAAATTTTAGTGGTTTTTTATTATCTACCTAAATTTTTCTTCCGGTTTTAGAATTCAGAATAAGTTTTCTCATGTAAACGCTGGTAGTGTCATTTTAGGCGTTGTACAACCTACTATGATTAGAAGGAAGAAAGAAGACGATGGCTCTGGTGACCATCAGAACAACCAAGCCGTTACTTCGAATGGCACCGAAAACGAAGGCAAGAGCGAGCTGCAGGAACAAATAAAAGAAAAACTGAAGTTTCCTTTCCCATACCCGGTCCCAGGAGAAGAATCGAACGAAAGCAAATATCAACAAAATACGATGAAAAATAATTCAGTTCCAAAGGGTGGTTCTGAAAATTTGAAGAGAAAAGGGGTAAAAGTTGAAGTTGAAGATTGTGTTGAGTTTGAGGGCAAAGTGTACACAGTTCCAAATTACACTATAGTACATAGAGGGTACAGCGACATGCAAAACTCAGTCGAACTGCCGGATTCAAAACTACATGTGACGAGACCAAAAGAACTGGTCGTTCAAATCACGCTGCCCTTACTCAACAGCGCCAAAACTGTTTCGTTAGATGTGTTGCGGAAACAGTTGGTGTTGCATTGCGAAACACCAGCGTGCTACCGGTTGGATATTGCGTTGCCGTACCCAGTCGAGGAGGAGAAAGGCTCGGCTCGATTTGACAAGATGAAAAAGAAACTAATCGTAACTTTGCCAGTAGTACCACCAGAAACTTCAGCGGCGGTTTCGATTCCAATTGAGGAACAAAGTTCGTCGCCACAGAAATCTGCCGCACTAGTAAAAGAAATAGTTCCTGAAAAGAGTTCTGATAATGAAAGAGCGGAGAAATCACCGACGGAATCGGTTGAAGAAACCTCGCAGAATGAAGCCGTCTCAATAGACGAACTACCGGAAGCCGATCAGGCTGTTCGAAGCTTGAAGACAAAAGCAAAAGATTCGCAGGATTCTGAGGATAGTGCAAAAGGAAAAGCTACAGCGAAGAAGCATAATCTGAGTAAAGATTGTGAAAAGTACTTTGAAAATTGGCCCTCGAGTGAATTGAAAATTCCAGAGGATCTCGAACGTCAGCTGGACGCTTTGCCCGATGGTTGGTTTAAAAAAGTGAACCCAAAATCATCCAGGACTTCGAAAAACGTGAAAACTTTTCCGGCGGATCCCTTTTTGTATGAAGTCGATGTTCCGAAGTATAAAGTAACGCAACGAGTGGATAATTTGACAATGATTTTGCAGGAAAAGCGAATAAGAAGCAATTTGCTAGAAGTAAAGCCGTTTAAAAATGACAACGGGTTGCACATACGATTGTGTTCAGTTGGGGAAAACGATTGCAACAAGTGGTTTTACATGTACGTTGAGTTCGACGCAGAATCGAAATGCGCCATTGATCGAGATTCGATAAAAACGGACGTGAACGAACTGAATTGCGTTATTTTGATGGACAAAGCGGAACATTGTAGGAAAGTGTGGCCGTTTTTAAAAGTAGGACCTTGTAAAGATACACTTAAGATTGAATATTTGGACCTAGAAGCGAAAGTTGAAAAAATGAACGAAGACTTATTTGCTAACTACCATTCGCCCCATTTGCCAATGCATGTCGTTGATCCAATTTGCACGCCTGAGCAGATGACCTTGACTTTAAGACCTGGCAGAGATCCAAAAGATGAACAAAATAGTGACAACGAGGAACTATGTCAAAGCCAAAACTGTTCGGGAAAAGACAGTGAACGTTTAAGTAGAAAGAGTGAAAAGGTTCAAAAATATTCTAAAACAGCGGAGGAAATATCAGCTCTGATTCAGGCTGGTAAATTAGACGATGCAATTGCAAAAGAACTTGAAATGGAGCAGAAAAAAGAGTCAGACCAATCAGCGATGAGCAAAGATGACGTCACGAGTTGCACTGCCAAGTTTGATCACGTGGTCGATATAATTGAAGATGGAAACGACGATGATGAAAAGATAGGTCGGACTATAGAGGAATGTCGAAGGATAGTTTCGCAGAAATATTTTCCGAAAAAAGACAACGAATTTTTCGCCGAGGATGGTTTCATGCTAAAGAGTTTTGAAGAAATTGAAAGAGCGAGGGCTAATGGAGAACCACTGCATTGTAAAAATGATGCGGTTGAAAATAGAAATGATTCTGAAAATGCGAAATTTGACGAAAGATCAGAACGATGCGCATCAGCTGAGAAAGAAAATCTATCATTAGACCTGAATGAAGACAATGACGCAGATAATGAGAAGAAAAACAGTGAAGATAGCTCACCGAGGGAAGTGGCCCCGAATGGTAATAACTCCAAGTTCAAGTACAAAAATGTGGAGACCAAAGCGATGAAGAAAAACAGGAAGAAGCAGCAGCAGAAAAGTCAACGTGCACGGCTGATGAGTCATTCGAGTGACGATGATCAGACGAGAGTGAATACATACAAAAATGTGGAGATATCGAAGGCGGGAGACAAAAGCGCACAAGAGAATGGACAACAGAAAAATGCGAAACGAAACGGGTGAGAATCTTATTGTTTCCGCCCTTTATTAGAAAGGAGCTTTGTCTTCGCGTATATGTTTTGAATAGTTTTTTTAAAATTGGAATAAAAAAATTGTTGACTTGCAAAGATAACCAAAGTTGTTCATGTGATTCTTGGCTATTCTTGCTCGATAGGATTTATTCTGGCCTCTCTCAAAGGGTGGGAAGGAAGTAACGGTCGAGCGTGTACTTCTCCCGCAATTTTAGGTACGTCAAAGCAAGCTCACTGGTGATTAAACGTGGTATCATATTTGCACTTGCGAAGCAATGTGTTATAGTACGAACTACTTTTTTTGTCCCGCAATTTTTTCCCGCAATTTTAGGTACGTCAAAGCAAGCTCACTGGTGATTAAACGTGGTATCATATTTGCACTTGCGAAGCAATGTGTTATAGTACGAACTACTTTTTTTGTCCAACCTAAGTCTCAAATATTGTTGCGACTAAGTCGCAATTTTTGTTAATACTTAAAGCAACAATATTTGCTGCGTCGAGTTTGCTGCATCGAATTGGTAATGAGATATTTTTGTTGCACCTTTGATGTTTAGTTGCACCTTTAAAGCTATTGATAACATGTGCTTTGGCATTCGAATAGTTATAAGTTTACACAGTTGATACATTTTTAATTCATCAAGTGAACCGAAGAAAGCTATTTGTTTCAAACAACTTAACAATAATAAAATCTCGATTTCAGAAATTTTCTAACTCAATATATCTTGCAATTTATTGAAATGCATAATTCATACATAATGTGGCTTTATGATTTGCGATTTTTTACATGCAAAATTGTATCTTTTTGTATTTGATGCTACTTTTGCTGCATCGAATTGGTAATTTAATAGCATATGTAGCTGCATTATTGTTGGCTAGTTTTTGGGGATTTTAAGCATCCGTGGGTGAATGGTTAGTGCGTGAGACCCAAATTTGCTAGGTCGCAGGTTTTTGCTAATTCGAGTTTTTGTTAAGCATCGAGTTTTTGCAAATTCGAGGCTTAGTTATGCTTTTTCTTATGTCACTTGATAGAGCTCCTTTTTAGTTGTGTGCTCGCAAGTGTTTGCGAAGCACAGCTTCGCCTGTGGAAGACCCTTGCTGTCGTGATTTGGATTTGAAAACAATTTTCAATAATAAAGGTATATCTATAAAGAAATCTTTATCTGGCCTTTTATTTCGGAGACGATTATTAAGAGTCGATGAACGTAGTCAAGACTCTTATATATGTCGCAATGATTTGAAAAAAAATAAAGGAAAAAGTAATAAAATGCTCTTATAACTACGGATGTGCATTCATAGATATTAATACATAAATGCACATAGGTATATGCGCACTTTTTGAGTTCAATTCGTTTTCATCTGCCTAAATCATTTATTTCGGAGACTATAATTAGGAGTCGATGACCGTAGTGAGGACTCTTATATATGTCTTGGTGATTTAAAAAAAATTTAAAGGAAAAAGTCATAAAATGCTCTTTTAACTACGGATGTGCATTCTTAGATATTAATGCATGAATCCACTTATGTATATGTGCACTTTTTGAGTTCAATTCCAGTTCATCTGCTTAAAATTAAGTAAATTGTACTCTAAATACGAACGTGCAATGGCGCGAAAAAGTGAAGGACTTCTAGATTCGAAAAAGGAACTCAGTTTTTCCTACTTGCCCAGTTTTCTCAAATTTAGGTTTTCTATCATAAATGCGTCTTGGTTTTCAAAGAGCGTAAGGGACATGCAATTTTTCTTCGAAATTCGATAGTTTGACCTTTTTTTGAAAAAACTTCAATAATTCAGTTTTTTTCAGTTTTCTTGCTTTTCTTACCTCTTCCCCAACTGTCTGGTGGCTGTTTATCGCTTTATTTTTTAAATCCCCGAAACAAAATCGATATTTTCTACCTTTTTTAAAGACTCACTGAACGTAGTAAAGACTCCTGTTTAGGCGGCAATGATTTTTTTTGTAAGGAAAAAGACAGTTTTTGTGGTTTGATTTTTGGCTTCTTTACTCTTGCGATAAGCAAGGGTGTTGCAGCCAGGTACTAGACTTTTAATTCCCCGTAAACAACTTTGTTCACAGAATTCGCACGTGAAAATGTTACACGCGTTCACTTGGCGCAGAGGTAGCACCCTTGCTCGAGACGGCTAGGGCAGAGAGTTAAATTCTTCGGGACCGGTTATTTGCAAACTAAAAAATTTAGACTATCGGCTGTCTGCTTATTTTTGTCGGCTTAACTCCTGCAAAAGTGACTTTTTTGTAGGCTAGGGTAACCAAGTTGGCTGCTAGGGCAGAGAGTTAAATTCTTCGGGACCGGTTATTTGCAAACTAAAAATTTTCGGCAAATTTAGACTATCGGCTGTCTGCTTATTTTTGTCGGCTTAGTTCCTGCAAAAGTGACTGTTTTGTAGGCTAGGTTTTTTTTCTTGCGTTACGAAGTCTCCTTGTAAAATGTTGCAGGTAATTTCGTTCCAGGGTATTGATTTTTCTATTTTTGGCAATTTTTATTAAAGAGTTGGAAAAAATTATTTTAAGGTTTTTTTCATTTTTGACGAGTCTTTTCATTTGCTTTTGATCATAGTCATTCATCTTTGTCTCGCGAGATGTGCGAAGCTCAGGTTCGCCTCTGTGTTTCAAAATCAGTTCATTTCCCATGCGAAATCCACTATCGAACAGCAAAAGTTTAAAGATCACGAAAAACGTGATCGAGTTCTAATTTCGAAAGTGCCAAAGTCCCTGGAGTCATTTAAAGGCGCCTTCGGCTCCAATATGCAAGTTTGAAGGGAGAACACTCCAAAAACTGCAAATTTTTGGCCAAAACTTTCCAAAAATGATGACTCTAGGGACTTTCGCATTAGAAAACAGAGTCATCATTTTTGAAAAGTTTTGGCCAAAAATTTGCAGTTTTTGTAGTGTTCTCCCCTTCAAACTTGCATATTGGAGCCGAAGGCGCCTTTAAAAGTTTTAGGATCAGTCGGACAACATTGATGTTAAATATTACGGAAGGAGCAGCTACCCTAAATCAGCTGCTGGTTGTGATATATAAGATGGTGAAAGAGATTGATTGCAGTGTTCTGTTTAGATCCTACGACAGTGCTTCCACTAGTCCAGCCCAGAGTCCCCGAGAGGGCGAGGAGGAGACGATAGGCGGAGGGAAAGAGAGGGGCAGCAGGAGAGGAGCAATGTCGGGGGACGATGAGGACTACTACACGCACACTTACAGCTCAGCCAGACCCATCATCAAGAGAGCATGTATGTCAACAAGTCCATCGAAAAGGGGAGGATTCGACCCCCTGCCGACCCAAAGGGTCCCCCCATTGTACTATTTTGAGATAAATAAATACTAATTTCGAGGGGGGAGCGCGTGCCAATAAATACTAATTTTGAGGGGGGAGCGCGCCGAAAAAACGCGATTTTTTGGTCAAAATTTTTCAAATAAGGCTTAAAAATGTCTTTTTTGGCCTGTTTTTCAAAATTTTGTCTGCGGTTCAGAAATTTTGGCAAAAACAGGGTCTTTTTAGTGCTTTGGAAGAGCTCGGAAAATCAATTTGGTCGACCTAAAAAAAAGTTCGACAAAATTTTCGAATTTTTTTTTTGAAAATCCCCCCCCCTCGAGAAAATCCTAGATCAGCCCCTGCCTTTGAAATTTCAATGATTCAAAAAGCTCAACTTGATTTGCTTTTTTGTGACCGATTTCCATATGTATTTGCATGATCTTTATTTGCTAACAAATTCCACAAAAAAAGTTAAAATTGGTTTGATTACCAAATTCCGTCTAAGTAAAAGTTGGCTGCTTTGACAAACATCATTAGCTTCAGTAAGGCCAATTGACAACAAGGATAGGATCAAATTTTTTCAACCTAAATGGTTAAATTTTATATTCAACGAACGTTACTCCGTCGCTTTACTCGCTCGAAATTCGAATGAAGCTCAAAAATTTTAAATCAGTTTTTGAAATTTTTTTAATGTCGTTCGAATCACGACTGAAAGGGCTTAAATATGATAAATCATTTGACACAGTCAAATATAACCGGTTGCTGTTTTTTTTTCTTCAATTTAGTGTCATTTTTTGTAGGTAGTGTGATGGGAGTATTATACAAACGCGTACAAAATTATCGAATTAGTCAAAGTTGACATCAGTTAAAACAAGAAAAACAAACAAAAATGTGAAAAAAATTAAGAATCAGTTCTCCGTTTTTTGTTCTATTTTTTGCACAATTTTCAATTTTTTTTTAGAAAAATTTTTGTTGTCAGGGAAGCGATACATTAAGCCTCACAATTAGCTTTTTCTTAGTAAAAAAAAATTTAAATTTAATTGACCAATTTCTATGAATTTTTATATACGATTGTTACTCAAAACGTCCCCACTTTGTTCTATTTTATCCATTTTTAGTTGACTGACCCTAGTTTTTTTCTAAAGGCGTCCAAAACTAAATTTGAGGAAGCACGCGCCGAAAAAAACGGCAATTTTTTGGTCCAAATTTTCTAAAAAGTGTCCAAAACGCCTTTTTTGTCCTGTTTTTTTTCTGAAAATTTTGCCTGCGGCGCGCAAAATTTCGTCAAATTAGGGTCTTTATAGTGATTTGTGAGAGCTCTCGGAAAGTACGTTTATCCGACCTAAAAAAAGCTATAAATTTTTTTTTTGAAAATCCGCCCCGCGCCCTTGAGAAAATCCTAGATCCGCCCCTGGTGGTACCTGATTTTGTGTGGAAAACAAATAATAAAAAAAACTTAAACAGCCGAATACAAAGTTGCTTCCCATTTTCAATGGTTGGAACAGAAATATTTTGAAATCTCCTTTGAAATTAACTGTTGTGGCGGCGTGTGTTTTGTAGGCCGTAGTTGTGCGGAGGGAGAGGACAGTGAGACTGAGAACTCGCTGAGGAAGAGTGTCTCTTTCTGTGAGGATGTGGACGTAGTCAACATTAAGACGACCACCACAAAAGCAGCCAGGAAGTCTGCCAAAAAAAGTAGGGCACTTTTAGGACATTTCAGATTTTAAAATGCAAGCGGGATTATAGGTTTTTGTTAGTTAAAGGAGATTTTTTTGAATTTGATTTTCTAGGCCACGATATACCACTTTGTGAATTAAGTTTTTTGTGATTTTAGTTGGTACAATTATTCACGCCAATTGTTGCATCGATACAATTTCACTTTTGTGTACATATCAAGTTTAAGTCTCGTTGCAAAGGGAAACGTTTAGATATCTATAATTAACCGCAGCGAATGAATTTATTTAAGCGAAAAAGAAGCAGAAACGAAGGCCAGCTTCAGCGGATGAATCAGAAGAAGAAAAGGAGGAAGGCCAAGGTCAAGTGGAGGTCAAGGAACAGGCCACGTGGAACAAAATACCACTATCAACTGTGCCCCTAACATTCGACCTAGACTAGAGATGGGTGAAGCAATCAGTCAAGTAGAGAAGCTATTGATAGGAAAAAATGGAAAACAAAGTGCTGATCTAACTCAGTATTCCTTCAAACTCGCTAGAATCAAACTCACAATGTTAAACTCATTCAATAGTGATATATCACAAAATATATCAGGGAGTAGTTGTATCTCAGCCTCATACGTCGTCGTAGCCAATTGTTTATTCAGCTTTAGTAGCTTTTGGCCCATTATAGTTGATAGATTGCTTTTATGTAGATGATTTAGTACCTTACTATCTTCCCTCTGTTCCAAAATTGTCACCAATATCTGCATAAGAAACATTTGTCGTCCATAACCAGTGCTTCAGAAACTATTTTGAATTAGTCCAGACAAAATGAACGGACGCTATGCTTCAAACATCCAAAGTTGTGAAACTATTGCAATTATGTTAATAAAAGAAGGAAGTTCCGACGAACTTTGGATCTTTGAAACATGAAAAAGTTATGGAGCTCGATTCCTTTTGTTTGTACAGCGTGATCATACTATTTTTCGTCTTGCGCAGCCAGTTTACTGCTTTTAAAATTTTTAGCCTTGTACATAATTTGGGAACGTTTTTTGGGAACCAAGCGCAGGATGTCAGTTAAACTGTCTGCTGTGTGTTGTATCCAGAATTCTGACATCGCTAATTCAAAACGCTCAACCGCTGATGCAGATGCTGCTAAAATAAAAATATTTGTTTTGAATGACATCATTATCATGTCTTGAGAATTTTCTGATAAAATTTTACGTTGCGAATTGAAACCCCTAATATCGAGTCGTGCGGCAGGGACGGTGCTTGTCTAATTGGCGGTGTCAGGATCTTCGTTGTGTCCATTTGTAAATATGTCTCCCTTCTCGCATAACTGTCGCTGTAGGCAGAAAATGTGAGAGCCGTGATGAAAATATGCTAAGCCTTGTTCAAATACACTGCAAAGAAATATAAATGCTGTAACATATAAAAAAAGGTTCTAAACTGTTTTGTTTTCTTGAAGCTTTATCGAGGTTTATAATCGAGAATCAGAATGAAAGATTCAGGTAATGGAAATCGTGTTCAAGACACCACCAAATTGAAAAATTTTACCAGGAGTGGGCTTGAGCAAGGAGGGAATGGACGAATTCACCACCCTGAGGAAATTCTCACATTTCGTTGCTTTTTATTAAGGACATCTATTTCTGGCCAATGAACTTTTATTAGCGCCTTGAGACGTTCCAAGCACGCGTTTAAACCTAAAAAAATTCCGAAAAATGTTTTCAATCTACTATGCGGAGATTACTATACGGAATGCTGCCGCAGTAAATTGGCCATGGAAATATTGTTGGAAGGTTGCCTATTAACTGTGAGCTCCCTGCTCAAGCAGCTCCATTGATGAGATGTAGACTTAGTAGAAATAAGGAATGGTGGAAATTAATTTCACAGGCTAGAAACAATCAGATTGTTCTGTCAGCTAGATACGTAATGAGATTTTTCGAGTTACTCAGATTCTAGTTAAAGCGCGTAGCAAAATAGTTTAGGAAATGGGCGGGAAGTCAGTTTTTTTTTCATCAGCGCGCAGAAAAGTGAACATTTCAAATCAAACCATTTGCGCATATTTAGAAACAAAAAGTCGCAGCTTAGAAAAATATCGCAAAAAATCAGAATTCAAAATTCTTTAAAAAGCGTTAAATACGAGGACATTGCATCTTAAAAGCATATATAGTGCCCGATATACACAAAACTTGCCACTAAAACAAAAATTAGCAATTGGTAGCTGTGCAACTGGCAAAGAACTTTAAGCAATTTAAAAATGAACATTTTTTGAAAAAAAAATCGGCGATAGATGGTTGAATTCAAAAAATCCCAAAATTAAGAGATGATAGTAATTAAATATTCAAATATAGTTGAGCAAAATGCTGAATTCAATCAGGACAAAAGCCATGGTTTCAAATTGGAGTGGTAGATTGATAGTTAGAGTCGCTGTCATTCAAGAATTTCAATTCCACGTGAAAATCTGCCGGAATTCTGGAAAAAATTTTGTGAAGTATTTTCAGAAAATCTATTGCTGTATTTCCGACCACTGAAATTGGAACTTTGTATTCACTGTTTTAGTTTTTTTTTTCGTTTTCCACGCAAAGCAGGTACCAGAAATAACAAACAATCATATTAAAGCTATTTCAAAGCTATTTTTTATGATGTATGTCATATTAAAGCTCTTTTAGTAGTGTTTCAAACAACATTTAAAAAATTCCTGTGTCAAGGAAAACATATTTGAGTTTTTTAATTATTGTAACTTAGAGCGAATAAAACGATCAAGCAGATTTGTAATATATTTATAATTTAACTTAAGAAGCTAAACGTATCTTAGTTTTTTTTTCAGGTCAAATTGTGTATCAAAAACTTTCTAGAGCTTTTGGGGAAAAGTTTTGAAGATCGAGTAAACAAACTTTTGCAAAAAAAATTTTAAATAAATTTTCTGAAAAATCTAAAAACTATTTTTAATAAATTTTAAAAATAATTTGATGAAAAAAAAATAATTCAATTGTACACAATTTGTTTTTACAATGGAGTTTCTAGACTTTCTTTTAGATTCACTAAAAGCGCAAAATATCTTTTTTAAAAACGCAATAAAAAATGTCGTAATCAATTTGAAATTTTTTTTAAATAATTTTTTTAATCAATATTGTCGTAACACTTCGTGCTATTTTCCCAACACTAGGCTATGCTTGTTTAAATGTGTGTTTTTGCTTTTTCTAGGCACTCTTGTGTCGCTTGAAATGGTCTTTTCCGCCATTTTATCCTCAAAATACACTTCAATTAAGATATGTTTATGATAACTTTGATAGATATAATGTGCAAAACAAATATGATCTTGCATATTTCAAAAAAAAAACGTCCGGCATTAAGCAATAAAGGCAATCATACGTATTTTCGAAAAGAAACAATTGATTCTCGGGGATGTTTGGAAAAGAGCTGAATTTATGTTTAGTAGTGTTCAAAAATCGCTAAACTATTGCATGGAAAACTTAAACTTTGTATGGTTTTTTTTTCGATTTTTCTTAAATTTTATTGAAAATGTTAACAACTTACTACAAATTAACAAAAAAGCTATGTTTCTTTTTGAACGTGAAGGTTAACTTTGAATTGAAATTTTTTTGGTCTTCAATTCATCGAGTGTTCACAGATGTAGAGTGATGTGCATTATGAATCAGTCATAATCAATTACAGTTGTTTTTCAAAATGGAACCAAAATAAAAAAGTTGAAAAATCTGCAGAAGATGTTTCTAATAAAGTATTTTCTTTTTGCCACAGAGGCGCCGGAATGAAACTTGCAAATTCACATAATGAGTTTTTCGTATATTAGAATGCTGAGAAAAAAATTTAATTACAAGAGTAACTGGTTGATTTTGAATTAGCACAGAAAATTTCTGGCACAAAAAAAAACTAAGAAGAAAAGTTGGTTTTTCAAATATATATTTTGTTCTGCGTGTTTCCATGAGACTTACTAGACAACCAATAGCAATGAATTTTCGATGTTTCTCAAAAAAGGAACCAAAAAAATCACATTCCTTTAAAACACTTCTTTTGCCACAAATGTTTTCCAAAAAATGCGTTTTTATAGCTTATAGAAGATAGTTTTATAAAAACGAATTTTAAAGCAAAATTTTTGACCGTTTGCTCACGAAACTTAGAAAAATTTCCGGAATTGTTTTCATGTCATTCAGGTTACGACTGAATCAAGTTTTTTTGCTCACCACAAGACAAATATTAAAGTTTATTTGTTGTATTCAATTTCGTTTTGAAAAAAGAAGAAAGAATTAAATTACCTAAAGACAATGCTTCTCCTCAGCTTCATCACAAACTATTTCTATTTTTGCTCAAAAGTCTTGTTTATTTCCGGCCACTGAAATGAGACAAAAGTTTTTCTTGAAGGAATGCTTTTGGTTTTTGGTTTCTGCACGCAACTTGGTTTCTATGCTAAATTGACTACTTTTGTATGATTAAATGGAGTGGTAAATAAATATAGCTCTACAAACTTCCACTAGCGCATTTGGCGCTTCCAAAATTGATATTTTTTTTCAAAAATTTGTGAAGATAGATCGATTTTGAGCAAATTCCTCAGTAGCAGAAAACATTAAAATTTTTAAACTACATTAAAATTTTCATTTCAAAATTCCTAAATTCAAACTTCAAAACTGCTTAACGTTGCCATCACAGATGAAGTTTTGCTTGGTGAATAGCTTGCACAAGCCTTGTTAACACCATTGTTGCTGCATATATCATAACAAGACTGTTCCTAAGAGGGCAAAGTTGTAAGCACTCCGACTGCCTATTAACTTGTCTTCATCAGCTTTTAGTTCATGAACTACTGAGAATCTATGACTTCTAGGATGATAAGACCAAATTTTTCCTAGGAAAATTTGAGTCGTATATAGATTTAATGAGAACAATTAGCATGCCTAAATTCAATTCGTAGTGCGGATAACTCGCCTTACGTAATAAATGCGCGTTAGACTTCAACAACAAAGTAGAAAAACGAGCAGTTTAGCTAGACTCGCGTAGAGTGCGGTTCTTAATTTGATAATGGTCAAAAAAGTAGACAAATACAAGTATTGACCCTCAGAATGGAGGTAGACAAACATTTCATGCAAAAGAAAAAAAAATATTGATGTTGTACTTTTGTTCGATTCTGATTGGTTATTACAGTGTTCGTATAATTTACGGTTTGTCGATTTTTTTCAATGAATTGGATTCACGTCAGGTTAATATAGAAAAGTGTGAACTCGATGTTTTCCTTCAAGATCGAGGGAGCGATCCCCTGAGAAAAAAAAATCTTCTTGAAAATTGGTCTGAATATAAAAAACCACCCCGAGCATATTGGAACCAGATCAAAGCTAGAATTCATTATTGGATATTATTCTGATATTTTACCTCTACAAAATATTGAATACTAACCAATCAAACTCCATCAAACTAACAACCCATTTATTTGTAAGTGTTGAAACTACTTGTTCAACACCAGAACAATTTGAATTAAGCTTAGAAAACAGTTGTTCTCATTCTGGAACTAACTCGCATAAACCGGTGTACACTAGATCTAGTGAGACTAGGAGATATAAGAGTAAGATTAAGATTGGTATTAGAGTAAGAAGTTGCAGGAATCTATCCGGCCGAAAATAAGATAGCGTGACGAGCAGACGTTGTACCTTATCTGAAATTATTCTATGAGTATAACCAAAAGGATATAACTCAATATATATTCCTCATTTTCTTCAAAATTGGGAACAATAAAAATCAGATATTGAGCAAAAAAGCATTCATACTAATTATCAACAGGAAAAAAATGAATGTGGAGGAGGAGTAGGGGGGTCTGGGGGTTGGAAAAGAAAGGAATTTGTGTTCATTACCTCCAAAAATGCAGAAATTTTCAAGTAGAAAAGTAAGACCTCGCATAGTTTCATTCAAATTCACTTGGTTTTTATTTGAACATATCAATTTCACTTGAATTTTTTAAAAACATATTAATACTTCCAACATATCACTGCGATGGTTGAAACTTAAGTAACAGTTACAAGAAAATATAGGGAAGTTTATGTGCGTATTTTTTTCTTCTAAAATCCAGGTGTTTTAACATTAGGTCACCTCAGATCAAAATATTCATCATAATGAAGCCCTTTCAATCAAGATTCCAGCTGAACAGTAAAAGTTTTCTTTCAGTATTTGCACTATCTCTTTACGCAAAAAAAAACAAAATGTAGGTTTTAAAGATTAATTACTTTAGAATCAATAGCTCCTGGAGCTGAAACTATCCCTGTTCCCACTTGTCGTGCACAGGAAGTCTTGATGAGGGAGGAGACATTTCTTACATAGAAATTTGTAAATTTTTTTAGATCTGCCATATTTTGACTTTTTGCGCTTTTGTTGAGCATCTGATTTTTAGTTAACAACATATTCCATTTTTTTGTATAAACGCTTACAACCTAGAAAAATTCAAAAAAAAAC